TCTGTGTGTGTGTGTGCTCTTCTTGTTTTTATTTTTTATTTTGGTGGTTTTGGTTTCATGTATTTTATCTTTTAATTTCGTTTGTGTTGTGCCAGATCTCGTTTTTTTTTTTTTCCCCCTCCATTTTTTTTTTCTTTCTATTCCTTCCGTTGAAATTCAGTTTAGCTTGGATTTGATGTCAGCAAATGAAGACGATTCTCGGGTTGCCCTTATTGATACATCCTGTTATTCTGCAGATTGTACCCTTTCAGCATTAGTGCCGCAGCATGCCATGAAACCCTATCGTCTCTTGGCGACAATGGAACTTATTAGAACTCTAGGATTGGATCGTTATTGTAGAACTGTTATACCACCTCTTATCGGAATTGAACAATTACTTACTTATCATGCTGAGGATTATATCTCTAACCTGGGACTTCATAATAGTCGAAGCTGGTTATGGAACACTGAAGTTTCCAAGGTAACTTTTTCTGGAGATTGTCCACCAGTTGAAGGAATAGTAGAATATTCTCTTTCTACTGTAAGTGGTTCACTTATGGGTGCAATTTTGTTAAATAGTGGTAAGGTAGATACTGCTATTCATTGGGGTGGAGGAATGCATCACGCGAAATGTGGAGAATGCTCAGGTTTTTGCTATGTCAATGATATTGTTATTGCTATTATAGAGCTTTTAAAATGTCATGAAAGGGTATTGTATGTTGATCTTGATATGCATCACGGTGATGGGGTAGATGAAGCCTTCTGTCAGAGTAGTAGAGTATTTACACTTTCACTACACAAATTTGGTGAGTCTTTTTTTCCCGGTACTGGACATCCACGTGATATAGGTTTTGGTAATGGTCGGCACTATACTATGAATTTGGCTATATGGGATGGAGTAGATGATTTTTTCTACACTGTTATTTTTGAACGTGCACTTTCTTCAATTGTTAATAGATTTAAGCCAGATGTCGTCGTTGTACAGTGTGGTGCAGATTCTTTGGCAGGAGATCGTTTGGGACATTTTAATTTATCTTCTTGGGGACATGGGAAATGTGTTGAAGAAGTAAAAAAATTAGGATTACCAATGTTAGTCTTAGGAGGAGGAGGTTATACATTACGAAATGTTGCAAAACTATGGGCCTATGAAACAAGTATTTTGTGTGGAAATAAAGTTTCTTTAACCACTGTTATTCCAATTCAACGAATGCCTCTTAGTGGATGGTTGTTTGAAGATTCACCTCAATTACTAGTTCCTCAAGATGAAGAAAACAGACCTCTACCTGGAGTCAATGTTCAACGGTCGTTTAAAATGGTGATTGAACAAATAGATAAACATTCCCCTAATATAGGTATACTATAATTATTCAACATAGATGTCTTCCCTGCAGTTTTGTGTTGTTGTGCTCAACCTCTACGTTTCCTTTTTTTTTATTTGTTCTAAAGGAAAGTAAATAGAAAAAAAGAAAAAAAAAGATAATTTGAGTTTGGATGTCTTTTTTTTTTTTCATGGACCACTGTTTTATCTCTTTTTTTGTGTATTTTCTCCTTCTGAACTCTTCTTCATTTTTGTTTACTACTTATTAAAAGGGTATTTATGCAGGCTCAAAATTCTCACTGTGTTGGACCTGAGAATCCAGAAGCTGGGATTGCGCCATCTTGTCAAGGGTGTCCAAATGCCTCTATATGTGCTTCTGCTCCTAAAGGACCTGATCCCGATATTGAAATTATTAAACAACGTTTGTCAGGAGTTAAACGGAAGGTTATGATTATTAGTGGAAAGGGTGGTGTAGGAAAAAGTACACTCACTAAAGAACTTGCATTTGCTTTGGGTAAACGTGGATTAAACGTTGGTGTGGTAGACCTTGATATATGTGGACCTTCACTACCAAGACTAACAGGAGTTAGAGGAGAAGATATTCATCAGAGTGCTACAGGTATTGAACCTGTTTTAATTGATGAAACAGTTTCTATGATGTCTATGCATTATTTATTGGGAGAAAAAAATGAAGCTGTACTTTTTCGAGGACCTCGAAAGAATGGTGTCATCAAGATGTTTTTAAAAGATGTTGTTTGGGGTGATCTTGATGTTATGCTTATTGATACACCCCCTGGAACATCTGATGAACATATTACAATTGCTTCACTTTTACAACAATGTGGAGGTATTAGTGGCGCTATCTTGATAACCACTCCTCAATTAGTAGCAGAAGCTGATGTAAGACGAGAGGTAAATTTCTGTCATAAGGCGAAAGTAGAAGTTCTAGGGATTGTTGAAAATATGAGTGGTTTTGTTTGTCCTAACTGTGGTGGAAACTCTGTTATATTTCCACGGACTAATGGCCAAGGGGCAGGAATGCGCTTAAGTAATGAATTTGGAATCCCACTTTGGGGAGAAGTTCCTTTAGATCCAGTTTTAATGAAAGCATGTGAAGAAGGTATTCCGTTAACAGATATAGTTGAATCTACAAGTCCGACAATTAAAATATTAGACTCTGTTGCTGCACAATTGGTTGCATCACTAGCAATAGAGTAGAGGAAAATGAAAGGAACAAGAAATGGGAAACTATCCTTGTTTTTTGAAATTTTTTATAAAGGGGGAGAGGGATTTTGAGTTATGAAAAGAAAAGATGAATTGATTAAATGTATTTACTAGTTTAATACTCTCCTTTTTTTTCCCCCTTGTTTTACTTTATTGTTGTTATTATTATTTCTTGAAGTGCAGATTACTGGAAAAGATAATGTCAGTAGTGGCTTCATTCGTGTTGGAATGTGCTCGAAGTGGTCGATGGGTACGAGGTATTTTAGCACTTCAAGGAAACCTAAATTCGACAGAAGTAGATGTTTCTAGAGCAAGAATTCAACTAGCGAGTAGAATTTTTGAAAAGCAGTGGCGTACAGCATTAGATATGGTAAGGACGAGTGATGTTTCTCACGTAGATGAAATGTCTAATTTCCTTTATGAGTGTTCCAAAAGTGCTTATGTTCCTTCTGATGTCTTTAATAATGTGGCAATTACACTTCTGCAAAGTGCGAAAGATAATGACGAAATTCAGAATCAACTTTTTCGTTCAGTTGTAAAATGGACAACATGGTCCCAAGCACTAGAATTATTTACTCATGTCAAATTACCAAATGAGAAAAGCTTAATAGAGTTAGATGAGTGGCTCAAATGTAGCCGTATGTTTGGAAGTATTAACAAGAAACGTACGATAGATTCTGCTCTGATGCAATTAAATCTCCCTGATAGTAGAGGCAACAATCTAAAGACAAAAGGCCACTCTTTAAATAAGAAGAACGTGTCAGTTGTTCGAAAAGAGATTAAAGGACAAACTGAGTTAACTGATGTTTTAGGTGCATTAAAATCGGGTAAACATCTTAGTATGGTTTCATTGGTAAAGCTTGCAAAATTAGCTACTACTGAAGGGTGTGTTTCGTGGAAACTACCCTTATCACTTGTCATGAAACACCGTATTGTAGATGACTGTAATGATGTATTTGCAAAAATGGTAGGTGTATGTTCCCCCCAATTATGGCAAGTCGCGCTTAATAATTTTTCTTTGAATGGAAAAATTGCTTTATGGTTGGCATCTTCTCAAAACTGGAAAGCTGCTCTGATAGTATCGCAAAGTGTTTTATTATCAGATCGAGAGAAATATGATATTCTTAGTCGTTCTTTAACTCCCACTACACAACTAAGGAAAGTTCTTCCTCCAACTAGAGCGACAGAACGAGTCTATGAACCAACCAAAAAAGCAATTGCATCTATGCTTGCTAGTGGATATCTTCTTGAAGAACTTCAGTTAAGTGCTTTTGCAAAATCATGTCAGCGTAATGGTGACTGGGAGTCAGCTCTCTACCTTTTTAATCGTATAGGCACAGAAGAATTTCAACAACGAGCCATTAAAACTCTTTTGGAACATTCTCCAAATGTCAAAATGGAACAAATACTTGGACTTGTGGATTATCGCAAACCAGCGAATACTTCTACAGCTTCAATGTTGATAAAAAATTCCAGTGATTGGTTGCAAGCTTTATTTGTTTTCCATTACATTTTGTCACGGGGAACCCAGTGTAATCCACAAATATTAAGTGCCCTTATGGATGCAAAACCACCAATTGGGGTCCTATCGACAGTTATTGAAAAACTAAAATGGACAGCAAATGATGGTATACTCCGTCGCATGGAATACTTAAAGAAGAATTCTTCTGAAACGTCATAACAGTAAATATAATACAATCTTTTATGTTGATGTTGCTCTTGCTAATGGTTTCACTTAGTTTTTTACACATTTTTATATCTAGCATTTTAAAGACTATGGTGGAATCAAAGAGTTTTTTTTTTTCTTTTTCTTGGTTATTCTTCTTATTTATAAGCTCTTGTATTTGACTATCCGTTTTAAGTGTATGTGTTTTGTATGATTGTTTTTCTTTTATTATTTGTGTGTGTGTGCCTGCCATTTATTATCTTCTGGATCGTGTGTTAATAGAAAGAACGCAACATACATACTATTTAATTATGCTGACTGTGACCAGGGTTCCCACAAGACCGTACACTGACCAAAAAACTGGGACTTCAGGACTCCGTAAAAAAGTCAAGGTATTTAAACAAGAAAACTACCTAGCTAATTTTGTTCAAAGTACCTTTAATGCACTCAAGAAAAATGGAGGAATTCCCGATACGCTGGTCGTTGGAGGAGATGGTCGTTACTTCATTTCTGAAGCTATTGATGTCATTATCAAAATAGCTGCCGCTAATGGTGTATCAAATCTTTGGGTGGGAAAAAATGGTCTTCTCTCAACTCCTGCTGTGTCAAATATAATACGTTACCGAAGAGAAGGTACAATAAAAGCCAAGGGAGCATTTATTCTTACGGCAAGTCATAATCCTGGTGGACCTGAAGAAGATTTTGGAATCAAGTACAATACAGAAAATGGTGGTCCTGCCCCAGAGAAGATTACTTCCGCTATTTATGAAGAAACTTTAAATATTGATCATTTTCTTACATGTCCCAATCTCAAGGCGGTGGATTTAACAAAAAAAGAAAATCATGTCTTTGAAACATTTAAAGTTTCAGTTATCAACACAACAGAAGATTATGTAGAAAGTATGAAAAATATTTTTGACTTTGATTATATTAAAAGACTACTACAACGACCTGATTTTCAGATAAGAATTGATGGATTAAATGGTGTTAGTGGTCCTTATGCGAAGGATATCTTTTGTTCATGTTTGGGTGTCCCAGAAAGTTGTTTAACTGGTGTGGAGGTATTACCAGATTTTGGTGGACACCACCCTGATCCTAACCTTACATATGCAAAAAAGTTGGTGGAAGCCATGGGACTTAATTCTGATGGTACACCTAATACTAACATTGTTGGTAAACTACCAGATTTTGCTGCGGCATTTGATGGTGATGCAGACAGGAATATGATTCTTGGTGAACGTTTCTTTGTTACTCCATCAGACTCTGTGGCAATTCTTGCTGCAAATGCAGATGTTGTACCATTCTTTACTCAACGAGGTGGAGTTAGATCTGTAGCACGATCTATGCCTACTAGTGGGGCATTGGATCGCGTTGCAAAAGCAAGAAATCTCAATCTCTTTGAAGTGCCAACAGGTTGGAAATATTTTGGTAACCTAATGGATAGTCGTGATGTGTATGGAGGTGAGGACTACAATCCACTTATTTGTGGAGAAGAAAGTTTTGGTACTGGTAGTAACCACATTCGAGAGAAGGACGGTGTATGGGCAGCACTATTTTGGTTATCAATTATTGCTAACAGAAATACGGATGTCTCCAAACCTCTTGTTACTGTCAGAGAAATTGTTGAACAACACTGGATGCGATATGGACGCAACTACTATTGCCGATATGACTATGAGAATGTATTACAAGAGTCTGCTAACAATATGATGAAAGCCATGGAAAATCTTCAACCAAGTGATATTCCTCCTCTACGTGGGAAAAAATGTCTATCGATTGACAACTTTGAATACCATGATCCTGTAGATGGATCGGTCTCTAAGAATCAAGGAATTCGTGTTGTATTTGAAGACGGATCAAGATTTGTGCTTCGCTTAAGTGGTACTGGCTCTTCAGGAGCTACAATTCGACTCTATTTGGAGCAGTATATGGAGCCCCATGATGTTGCACAACATTTAAAAGAAGGTACTTTGCCTTCAGTTGCTGCCGCATTGGATGCTCTCATTGCTATTGCACTAAATTCCTCTCAGATATCAAAGTTCACTGGACGTGAGGCACCAACAGTTATTACTTAGGGAATTTATAAAAGTTAATGGTAAAGATAATGCAAAACGGTAAGTAATTGTTTTAAGAAATGTACCTGTGGTTATTATTGTTATTGTTATTGTTTTTTTTTTTTTTTTTATGTCTTCAATCCTGCGATTAGAAGCAAACAAAATGAAACTACCATTCTTTCTAAATTATTCCTGTGGTCAAGAATGAACTAAAACGATTTCTTGTTGTTGTTTTTACTATCCTCGGTGCATGTACGAATGCGCACCGTATTGAAAGAAAAAAAAAGGATAATGAAATAGTTGGATGCAAAAGGACGAATCTCAAATAAACAAAAAGATACAAAGATACGAATTATATTCGTATATAAACGTATTTTTATATATGCCTTTACTGTTACAATGTTTCAATACACAAAAAAAAA